ATTTTGATAAGGAATCTTCTTAGTTCAATATTCATTTCGATCATTGAGCAAAGCAACGCAACGACAAAAATATACGTCGCAAATAAAGTCATCATCATTTATAATGTTGTTCGCATTGTTTTCTTTCGTAATGCCCAAATATGCTTGTATCACACAAGTGGTGCAAAGAAGACGACGAAAAAAAAATGTAATACAAAATCTTTTGGACCGGTAAAAGGAGCCTTGACTTATGATTATGGTTTTCCGATGAGAGCACTTCATCGTCTATGGTAGCAATCGCCCGAATACTTTAAACGCATCTTTCAAATAAACAACCATAAAATATGGTAAAGATTACGTTCAGACGCTAAAATTAAGTTTGTACGATAGGCATGTACGTGTATTTGTATCATGATTACGTCCCAGTCGATTTGGCCTCTTTCATTTTCTTTTCGTTAAGAATAAAAGTACTCTTAAATTGGCATTTTAATCTCGTTTTGAATGAAAGTGAAATTGATTTGAAAACAAATCGAGTATGCAGCCGGTTTTATTAAAAAGAAATTGTCGTATTGCAGTAAAGTAAATATAAAAATGCGATTGATTATGAGAAAAACATACACACAGAGAGAACTAAACCAATTTCACCATTAAAATAATAAATATAAAATGAAATGATCCCAAATATGGCCATGCTTGCAAACAATTAAAAGTAAACTGGTTCAATTCCGTTGAAAGTATCGTTTCTCGTTGAAAAACTAATAACTTTCAAAGTTGAAGAGACATCGCAAGTTTACACGTATTCGAAAATGAGAAAGAAAACCAAATATTGATCCACATGGCCAAACTAATGCAAACCAAACTAATCCATACATGAGGTTAAACATGCCAATTCTCAGTCAAACACTAACAGATGAGGTCGATTCGTGAGTGACAAGCTAAGCAGCAGCCAGCTTGTCAATGATGAGCTTTTGGCTTTCGACTTTTCCAAATGAAAACCTATCAACTATACTTGAAGCGCAAATGTGGCAAAAACGATTCGCACGAAATGATTCCATTGATTCGGAAAATATTCAATAATCATAAAACGCGTGTAACAACAATGAACGGCCAAATCAGTAGCATCGAAAACAAAAATAGCTGTATTGAGCACATCTTGAGTCGAAAATGGAACAAAAAGAATAAAATAGGGAGCATTTAACGGCGTTTCGAACGTTGAATGTTTCAAGTATTTCGTGCCACTTCTTTTTTTTATTGTTATTACTGTTTGGTGTTGCTGTATCAAAACCAAAATTTACTGCGTTCATCATGTGCTGATGTTGCCGTCCCAAAATTCCGACAAACACAAACACACACACACAGCATGATTGTGTGGAGATATATTCATGTGTATTTGTAAAGCAGTTCACCGGAGTCTGCACGCGTTTACGGATGGCCATTAACCGGAGAAGAAATATAGACATTTAACACGGCACTAAAGCGCTTTTATTTTTATTAAATACGTATCAATGGAAATTTTCCGCATGAAGTTTTCGATAATTACGATGATATAATGGATCCTTTGGGCGATTTGTTGGGTATATTATTACATTGAATCATCGTGATTTGTTTGTTTCACTCTTCAATTCAGTGTATTGAAAAATGGGGCGATGCACAGTTCGGCGCACGGACTCAATTCAAATGCATTTGTGTAATCTCCTTTAATGTGAATGCAAATTGATAAAGTGTTTCGATGAAAATGAAGCTTTTCTGCGTCTTCGATTCGAATTTATCAAATTCAAATTTAACCAGATTATTCTTATTCATGGACAAATGCTGTCTATGTTATTTATTTATCGAAGCAAAATGGACGAGTGCGAAAAAAAAAACGGAATAAAGAGAAGGAGAAATCATCACCCTTGTCGAATATGTTATCGTTTAAGTGCTTGCGTGTTTCGATGCTGTTGAAGTGTTCATGGTTCATTGGATACATATTGGAAACGACTTAACAAAAACTTAACCGACGCACTCACATTTACTTGATGGACTATAATAAACGCATTTCAAATGCTGCTATGAATAAGTCCCCGACAGAAAGTTCGTCTTGTAAACACACAATCTTGAGTCTTTTGTTCGAGGCATATATGTATGATTTTGACGAGATCAAAGTAATATCAAAAGTCTCTCAATAATATTAAATGTCATTTTTGGACTTTATTTGCTTTGACCGACTTGTCATAACTCTTAACAATTCACTTCGAATGCATGTATTTTGAGGCTCTGTTTTGCTAGAGAATCTTTTAAATATGCCGAAACAAATGTACACATAAAAGCGTCAAGTTTGCGCTTCACTTTGTTTCCGTACAATCGTCAAATAATGTTTTAGAAATGTCCGTTGCCTTTACCTTTTGACGATTGCTGTAAAAGCTCATATGTTTTTGATAAATAGGCTGGCATTTGGAGGTAGAGAGAGAAAGTGGGTTGCAAAAAACATAACAGTCAAAACATTCGCCTTTGAGAAATAACTTGGAAATATGAGTAAAATGGTTTGGCATAAATTGCATGTTCATTTGATTTGATTTTGATTGCCTTAAAGGGACAATTACGAATTTCATTACGAATGCAATAAACCAAAACCTTCACTCAAAAGCATTTTCACTCATCCACTTTATTCGAATGAACTTAACTCTAGAAGCTTCCATTCCTACGGTCCGTAAATGATACTCGGATGTTATAACAGTCATTTGTAGTTTGAATTTTCATTAGATAATGCAATTGTTATTAGATAATAGAAACGAATAATAATGCAATTGTGAACTGTCGAAAAAGTGCTCATAGAATGTCAATTTACTAGTGTTTTTTTAGATATGTTCACTACAACAGCAAAATTAATCACTTGCCACGAATATTTTGACGCTCAACAAGCGTTTGTAAATATAACAAAATTATGAACAGTTTTGTGTTGATTTTTCCTATCGTTTGGCTTCTTTAACTAGTCTGATCAACACATAAAATATCATTTTCGGTCTGGTCACAATTAAAATAAACTATCAGAATCGATTTGATGTTTTCATTGCGTGGAATGTGTCAGTGGCATGCTAAAAAACTGGATTCGGTTAATTTATATGTGTTCATTTTTAATGGTTTCAATGTCACGGCTCCATTTGAAATCCTTCATTACGGCAGTGAACCCTTTAAATAAGATTAATGTGATTTTCTTTGATGCAATCAAATCGCCGAATGTGGAGAAAGGAAGAAAAAAAATAGCGTAACCATAAAAATGCAGCGCACAATTCGAAAAGTCTTGAACAGATTTTGAGTGCATCAGACACACCAAATGATCTATGGTCGAAGGCATAATTCCGTAAAAAAATCATTAAAATTTCTGGTTATTTTCAAAAGAAAAAGTTTGACAGCTACCGAGTGGACGAAAGAGAAAGCGAAATGGCGATGTGAAATGCTTGAACATTAAATACAAATGACAAAATCACAGATTAGTTTAGCTCTTCACGATATTTTTGGCGTTTTTTCGTCGTCGTATTTTTCATTTTCTTCGCCTTTACTTGATAAATGCCATTTATTAAGTTGTGCCTGATCGTTGTTATTTGTGTCGCACATGGCGTCTTCATCGTCCATTACAATTCAATTGCAAGAAGAAGAAGAACAAAAAAAAAACTTGAATGAAGTAAACTATCTCTCTATCTCGTTGAGATCGACAACATGTAACTAAATGAAATAGAACAGAGTGCGAAAGAAAAGCAAAATGGATGAAAGACACTTTTCGTTTTTAAGCATGTGAAAAAGTTCGAAAATGTTACAAAAGTGCATAAAGATCAGACATCATTAGTATCACACTAAGAACTTATCGCTAAAGAAAAATGAAGTAGAAAAAAAAACTTTGCACAGAGCAACACAAATTTAGTAGTTGCAACGCTGATGTTTTATTGAATAGATCGCTTTTCGCACTTGTTCATAGTTTTGTTTGTGTTTTGGATGGCGAAATAAGAAAAAGATTAACACAACCATTTTCTTTTGCCACTTTCAAGTCATGATAATGCAGAAAAAAAACATGTTTTATAATCATTTATTTAAACATTGTTGCAATTGATTGGAAATAGCCAAAAGAGCTCATTTATCTAGGTGGTTTTTCATCAATGTGTAGAATATTCTAAAAACTTTAAGCTTTGAACAAAGTATCGCACCCTCATTGATTCTCAATTCGAGCACGTACCAACAAATTTCATTAGGCCAAAATAAATGCAGAGAAGGAAAAAGTGTGATTGTTTTTTTTCATTCGTGTGCGCAATTACTTTAATTAAAAATCGGAGAAATGTATTACAGGAATATAAATTGAAATTTTTGAAATACTCAATACATCATGAAAACAGCTCCAAAACCTAATCAACAACTACATACAAACATATTGCATTTCTCGTGATATTGAATCATATTAATGAACAACAACGTTGTACAACAACAAAAACGATTTTGGAAACAACAATCGCATTTTGAATGGAAATGTGAAAAACCGCCCTTTCAAATTTTAATCTGAACGCAATTGGTTCCGAGAAAAAATGCTTATGCAACGACAAAAAATGTATGAAATGGTGGTACAAAAGCATAAAAACTAAACAGATGTTTTTTTCGCGCATTTTCAAAATCAATTTTGTATTATTTATCTGGATTGTTATAATGTGCAAATTATCTATGTTGTTATACACATACGAATTAAGTACACATTTAAAACTAGAACATGATTTTGCTTTTTGTGTGTTGTATTTATGCTGGAATTGTGTGCTTGTAATTGACAGTATCACTTGCTATTTAGCAAATATTTTTGAATTACATTTTTAAAAAAACATGGCGATTGCAAAAAAAATCTCAAATTATTTAACTCTAAATACATTTGTACATTAGTACAGTAGTTGAATGAAAATATTCAATGTGCTGATTGTGCATGTGCCATGAGACCTGTTTTTTCCAGCCAAACCTTTTGTTGTTATCCATTTTATTTACACAATTTATTTTTTTGTTTCTCTTTTCAGTATGCAATCAATTTTCACGTGGTGTATTTTCAATGCTAGGAGCTGTTTCACCCGAATCGTTTGATACATTACATTCGTACAGTAATACCTTCCAGATGCCTTTTGTTACACCATTCGGTCCGGAAAAGGTGAGTCATGTTTCAAAACGCTCAATTATAGCTGTACGCTGTATGAAAACTTTTGTCAGGTTCATTTCAAAAATGAATCGACCCAGTGAAAGAAAATGACAAAAAATCATCAAAAAAAAAATGAAAAGAAAAGAAAGAAAGCTCATAGATGTGCATATAGCACCGAGCGAGCAAGAGAAAGGAAATGAAAACGAAATAAATCAGGGATGCAAAACGTGTACTCTCCTTTGCAAACGCATTTAATTCCTGATGAACTCAGACCATTTCTCAACTTCATTTGTACTTTTGGATTTTCGTTGCAAAAAAAAAATAATCTACATTCAAATAATATTTACTTGCATATGAGCACACATTTAAGGCGAAACACAGCGTAGTAGCCTTATTTTGAACCTTTGATAAGTTTAGCTATCTTTTTTACACACATACAAACACGTCCACAGCCAATGGTAACGACGACAAACGAAGGTGGTGAATTTTAAGCAAACCCAAAATAAAATCACATGAAATAATAAATGCAGTTAGACGAAGTGTGCTCATAATAATCATGAAAGAAAATTTATATGGGAACACTTTCGGTGTGAATGTGTGAAAATGGTTGTGCAAAAACGGGCCGTAATGAAGAGTACCGATGGTCTTTCAACCGGATAAGAAGAATGAGAGAGTGAAGAAGAAAAAAAAAACGTAGAAGAGGGACGAACGGTCGCAAAAAAGAGAGAACGAAATCTAAATTTACGACAACTGAATGTAATCGTAATAACTGCTGGCGATGTTCTCGTTAAAGCTTCCGCATTTCAGATCGCGTCTCAATTTTTCTAGTGTCGGCTCTTGATAATATCTTCGGGTTTGGGTGATGCTTCTTTCCGCTTTGAGCATATAGTTGGTACTTTGCCATTGATGACCGTACTGACAAGTGAAAATGCATGCAAAAAAAAATACAAAAGAAATTATACGGGAAATGTAATAATTTTGCATGCTTTTGCCAAACCAATCAATTCGGAGATGAGACAGTCAGATGATACGGACTACCAAATCAAGGGAATTCGACTCAAAATCACGTCCTATAAATATCTTACGAGAGAGAACGAGAGAGAGAGAGAGAGAGAGAGAGAGAGAGAGAGAGGATGAAGACGCAACAAAAAATTATTCTCGTCGTCGTATTCGCTTTGGTTCATTTCATTTGAGCTTCTTTTTTTCTTGATTTATGCCGAAATGCAGCAACTTGTAACGAAGGAAGCTTCTAAGGCCATCCTCACCAAAGTGAACGATGAGCAGAAAGAATCGAAAAAAAACCCCGTCAGATTTGATATTGAGAACATGAACCCTTTTATTGCTTTTTCCTTTTTGATTCGTTCATTCTTTTGAACCAAACACGAAATATTAAGAGTTTAGAATCACTAGCAAAATATGTATACATTTTCTTTCGTGTTTTTTTTTTCCTCATTCTTCAATAGATGTGTATTTTGATGACTGAACTGAACATTTCCGTCTCAGAATTCAATCGCTTAGACATTTTAACTTTTCATTTTATCCATTTCACTCATTTTACTCGCTTTCTTCTGTCGATTTAAAGTAAAAGTTTTACCTAAACAAAACACACGCAAAAGAACGGCAATTTTGATTTCTTCTTCGGTGTATTTTTTCCGCTACCTTTGTCTTTTGTTATTTGTTTTTAATTCTTGTAAAATTATTTTTTCAATACACACACACACACTGAGAGAGAGAGAGCGCGATACAGCCGTTCTCTTTTTCCGAAAGATCTTTTTCTTTTCGATATTGGAATCGCTATGAAACAAAGTCATAGAGAGCAAACAATAACGGCTTACTTTTATTTTATATTATTTTCTGCACTTTGAAAGCCAAGAACTAACGTTTTCTTCTTACCAAAATCGTTGTTTTTTTTCTGTTCATGTCCTTATTCGTTCAAAGTTTGCCGTTGGAAATGTGTTTTGAACTGCGACTTTTTTTCATCCCTTTCTCCTTTCAATATTTTTTCATCTCTTCTCCATTCGTTTGAAACGAAATCCGCAGGAATTTTTCGTATATATGTATACAATTCGGATCGAAAAGTTTTTGATTGGTTCAAAAGGATCTCAAAAAATGTTCAGCAACTGCTGCACTTCGAACGCTATTTTCTTTATTGTAGTTTAAGAATCAGTTTTGTTAAACGCGCGTAAAGAGTGCATGAACTTGACTTTATCGATATTAAATAAAAACCCGTGGAAATTCTCCCATTCTGTTTGGCATTTCATTTGGACCGTTGATTTCTTTGTTGACTATCTTCTATCACATTTTTTGGTTTTGATTTTGATTTGGTTGCTACTACTTTTTTTAATACGTTCATTGCGGTTTTTTCTAAATTGAAACATTTACATTTTTATCGTAATTATTATGACTGTTTTTTTGTTTGGGTGGGGAGGTTAGGAGAGGTGGGAAGGTTATTAAATTTGTTTGGATGACGGTGTTCAATGTGCCCTTGTATCGCCATTTAAACTAATATTTTAATTAAAGTGACTGGCAGAGCGATTCAAGAGTGAAACGAATGTTAGCCAAAATGATAATAGCAAACTATTTGGAATGGCAACAATTTGTGTGATATTCCATGTAATAAAACTCCAAAGTGGAAATTGCCATTTTGCTCATGCATCTCTCGTAGCTCAGGTTCTCACATCATATCATTTTATTTGTTCACGATCCACGTACGCCCGCACTAAAACTGATAGAGCACACGTGTTTATGCGGACAAACATACATACACATTCACAAAACTTGAACGCTCGTAGATTCGTTTCATATTGCAATCCCGATTTTCTGCAATACAAAATATCCATTTCATTTATTTTTATTGTTTCTTACATTTTGATTACGAGTTAAGTGTGCATTCACCTGAACTGATCATATCAAATGTATTTTCAACGGCATGCAGTTACAGTAAACTCGAGCGCAAAGAGACAAAATTTTACAAAAGAATCACACAGAAAATGATGCGGATAAACAAAAACAACAGCAAGAATAAGAAGTATAAGAAGAAGAAGTAATAGTAGTTGTACTAGCTGTAGAAGTGAAAGTAGAAGAAAAACTACACACACAAAATAGATGAAATGAAAGGATGGCGAACAGAAATAAAGACAAAAATTTGAAGAGTTCAAGGGGAAAATGCAGAGTGAGGAGCAGACAGACAAAACAATGAACGATGAAACGTGAAATGCTTACAAACGCGCTAAAAACATATCAACAAGACGAACAAGGGCAAGGCGATAAACACTAACTACCACTAAAGTAAAAAAGAGATGCTATAAGAAGAATGAAAATGAATGGAAATGAAAATCAAGAAATTTATATTTAGTACTAGTTATCGGCTTTACGATCGCATATAGTTTAACCTCACAACTCATTCGCAACATCTTAATCTTAATCTTTGCTGCAAATGCTGTGCTCTAAATTTATGAACAGCACGAAGATGATGAGCAAATCAGGAAAAAAAGAGATAGTGCCATTAGTATGGGCACGATAATTGTGAATATAGCTTGCATCTATAAGATACTGAGGTAAAGTGAGGCACATCCACACAAGAAAAATAAAACTCATCCCATCTAAAACATCGGCACAATGTAAAGATGCGAAACGATTAGAACTCTTTATAAAGACGGTCTATCCCGAAAACACTCAAAGAATCATTAGCAAAGCAAAAACATGTGGCAACACATCCAACGTATGCTTTACATGAGAATCGAACCCGTCAATGTCTTCACATTTATCAAAACAAAACCAATGGCATTCCATGTTGGTGGTTAAGCCAAAGCCACGTATTTTCGAAACAAACTGACCACATAAAATGTATCACCAGAAAATGTTGGCCAAAATGAGCTTAAATGAAATGGGAATTATTATGTGATCTAATACACAATGCAACCGAGAATGGTTCATGTAAACGCTCACACGCCATATTTATCTGATGATAAGTTGTAATGATGATGATGAATAATAAAGTAGAACGAACAAGCAAGCAAGCGAACCAACGAAGAAAAACTCCTTCATATTTCACTTGCATTACAACTACCCAGCATGGCATGTATACGACGTTCCAGTCGTATAATATGAACATCTTGAGCATAGCACATTCTCTTTGGAATCACTTTTCCCACTCAAAAAATGGTATGGTAAACGCGAGCACAAACATGGAAATTGAAATCAACAACACACCACTGCAGACCCCAATCGCCGTTTCATTTTGAACACCAACTCCATTTCACCAAAAAAAAAAAAAAAAAAAAGAATGGAATACAACCGACAAAAAAAGAAACACTATACTGTCATTGCCCAGTTGTGTTGAGAAATAATGCAAAAATCCGAATAAATCGGTGGTGTTGAAGTGTTGGTGTGTATGAATCGCGAGAGGACCATGCCCCATTGGGTTGTTCGCTCTGTTAATTTTTTTTTATTTGAATTGGTTGTTGTGGTGCAGCCTGAGCAAGACACCAACTTTGTTCGGCTTGGATTTCTTGATGAAAGGACCTCAGTGCATACAAAAATATAAGACATACAAAAAAATAATGTAACGAAACCATTAAATTTTATTAGTTTAAATTTTAATCGTTAGCTATTTCACGTTTTTTTCCTCCTTTTTCCATATATTCTATCTGTCTTCTGGGATTTTCGTTCACTGCCCGAAGCCATTCTTCCTCATTTCAATGCATGGACATTTTTTTCCCTCTTGCTCTATCATTTCATACCTCTTTCGCTCGTTAAATGTGAACATATGATCTCGACTGAATGCAAACGGTTCATGTAACGAAGATGTGGGAGCATGTGAAACGACGCTTGTGAAAAACATATGAAATTTGTATCTGAATGCGTCTGAAAATCAAATTACACGAACAGCGAATACCATTAACAGTAGAAATGTAGCATAAGCATATGCAGTTTACTATAATAAACGTGAAATAGCTGCCAGAGAACGGATGGGCAATGATAAAAATGAACTGAACGAACGAGTAGAGGAA